TGATTTAAATATTAAAAACACCTCCGAGCAATTACTACTAGAGGGAGTCTTCCTCTCTTCCCCGCGCTAAATTTTGTGAGCAACATCTACTCCTCCCGAGGGGGAAAATACCTCTTCTGTAATTGGCTTATTTAAACAGCGTTGCCAAGTTTGACAGCGCCAGTTCTGACACTTTCTGACACATGTCAATTTCTTATTTGTATTTTACGGAAAATATTTTTATTTATAACGTTGTAAGGGTTGTAAATGTATATTTAAGATTTATTATCTCTAATAATATGGTGAAAACATGCTTTATGTGTAAAAGGCCTGTTGAAAATGCTTCTTCAAGATACTATCATAAGTAAGTACAGACACAACCTAATTATCAGAGGCGGTGCAATAGGCAATCACCTTTAATTTGCAATTAAACTTTCTTATTTTCTTATCGAAAAATGAAAATTAAGAGCAAGTAAACTCCAGCTAAGTTCGTCTTCATCCGACTCATAATGATTATAGTAAAGGTTAATTAATTATTATTATTTTAATATCACATCTTTGTAAAGTTTATTGTTATTTTTTTTAGGTTTCCTTTTCTTGATATGAAAAAGAAATACATGGTTCCAAAATATAAGAATTCAACAAATGACCACCTGAATAACTTTTTAGGCTAATAAACATTTTTATTACAGACCTCAGGGAACGAAAATATTAAAGAAAAATGCAATTTCGACGAAAGAAGTATAATAAACAATCCTGTCACTACTTCTACACTATATTCATCTGCTACTAAAATACTAAAACAGCAAGTAAGTAGAGAAACTTAAGTTTCTTTCAATAAGAATGTTTTAGGAAAAAGGCATAGCCATTTTTTTGTTGACACTTTTTTTTAACTAATTTAAAAGACTAATTTTGTGTATTGTTTAAATTTTCATTTTTTGTACCTACTTAATTTGTTTTAGGTTTAAACAAAATTAACTTCTAAGATATGCATGGAATATCCCAAAAGAGCTAAGGAAGATTTTAGAATTCTTAAGAAAACTATTCAGAGCCAAAAACATAAAATGGTCTTCCTGTCCAAAATATAAATTGGTATAAATATTTAGATATTATGAGTGATTTTTTATTCTATAAATAGAACATAATTTGCTTCTAAATCACTACCTAATTCACTATATTATATAGTACAAAACTAAACAAGAATATCACATTATTCATGTTTTCTTTTAATTTCCTTAAAAAACGTCCCAAAAAAATGTAAATATTTATTATTGGAGTTTACATCGTTATGCTAAAACAATACTAGAACAACTTAAATAATGTGGATTTTGACTATTTTGAGTTATGCAGATCATTATGATCTAAAAAAAATGTTTGTCTGGTGCTATAGTCAGGTATAAAAATATTCATTTATTTAAACACAGTTGCAATATACATTTTATTAAGTTTTTAAGTTAAAACCTATTAGGACATCCTAAAATGTCTTTTTTCGTTTCATGTGAGATTAATTATTATTCTACATTTTTGTTGGTGAAATAGGATATATTAAGATGTCTTACTGTTTTCTCTTTTCTGATTATCTAAAAAGTTAGAACAATATACAAAGACTGTTATAACAAAAAAGAGATATACCTTTACTTAAACACACAATTAGTCAGTTCAATTGTACTATAATTTAAAGCAGAAATCCAGAAAACTTTAAAATGTGTTTAAATGTGTTTTTACTATAACAAGGACATAATTATTAAAAAGACTTGGCACATTAACATTGACGATAGGTTTTTATAATATATATTATACAAATCACAACGAACTACACAAAATGCCATTATTAATAATTTAGCAATAAAAAAGTTAAGTACAATAATGACATTAAAAGTTGAGTTTCTCGAAATACTTTTTTTAAATTGTCTCAGTACCTATCTAGTATTTTTCTAGCTCAATGATATTATATGAATGTGCATTGTGTGATATCCTATATTTTAGGAATAATATGATATATTTTTGTGCAGGTTTCTGTTAACAACGATTCCAAGAACTTTTAAAAATATTATTAAAACGGCCTTTGCAAATATAATTCTCAATTAAGAGCTTTTGATCTAACATTAAATTTTTATTCTCCATAAGGTTACAGCTTCCTAAGAAGAAAGTTTACCAAGACTTACCAAATCCAAAATATCAAAATTGTACCAACCAATTGATGGTTCTACTGGTGTCCATAAGAAAATTCTCCTCGAAACTACTAAAAGAAAAGTGGCAGAAGCAACCGAAGAAGGCAAAAAAGTCTTTCGCAAAGCAAAAACTAGAAATTTGTTTAAGAATCTAATTATTGTTTGAAGTTTTACCATTAATAATTTTTGATAACGATTTAAGATTATGAAATTCTACTATGTATTTTACTCTTTGATAACCTATGTTTAAATTTTTATTAGGACCAAAATAAATTGTAATTTTCATTTCAACTACATAAACTCTCATAATATTAAAAAGGGGAAAAAACCTTAGATTAGTTATGTTCAGAAATAAACTCTTTAAACATTTATCTACTTAAAATGTGTTACTTTTAGAAGGTATGTTATTAACTTTCTATTTGTACTTGTATTAATTTATTTCATTTTATTATCTGTTGTATTTTTAAATTGATTTTGATATTAATCTTATCTATTTATATATTTTTTATATTCATATGTATGTTTTTTTCATTGAAACCAACGTTTATTAGCTTATTAAATATAATGAATTCATGTTGTTTTATTATATGCTTGTATGAATGATTACTTTTATTTCCTTTTAAAAATTAATTTTGAAGATGAAGCCGAAACGGTGAGTGAGAATAACAAATTAGACGATAGTGACGATATTTACTGGAGCTTTCATCTACACGCTCCTTTTTCTAGCCATCTACACCTGAGCCAGCAAGATTCGTCTTCCCCCCCATCCTTACATTCTCCAGATTTACAGAGAAAACGCCGTCCTATTTAACATATCCAGACCTTCTTTGACGGGGACTATACCACTACATTATCAGCTTAACTTGTTATCCCGAGCAATTTAAATGCATTCGTAATTGCTCATTCTCACCTCTTCTCTTGTAGATTCCGTACTCAGTTTTCTTATTTTTAGTTACGTTTGCACTGCTCTTTTATTTTCACAGCTTTAATTCTATAATGCTGTAACGCTACAATATGGATCCATTTTTGTGGTTTATACTATTTAATGTTATTCGTAAGTGACCAACCTATTATAATAATTAAAGATTATTGTAATATAAGACTGAAGATGTTTCTGTAAGGCCGAAACTAGTCGCTGCTGTATTTATTTATAATAAAATTAATTTTAAGGTTTTATTCTTCAATTGACAAAATTAGACCTTTACAGTGATTTCGTTTCATTTCCTGTATTAGACACATATAAGACGGTATTAATTTTAAAAATAGTAAAATTAGCAAATTTTTTAGTGTTTTTTTTACAAATAAAACGTTTGGACAATGTGTGTTTTTTATAGATAAATGATACGCCACTGAACAGGAAGGATGTTTACCTTTCCCCTTGTGCCCGCTTCCTCACTTCCTCTACAGGTGTTGCTAACACAACAATCGCCTACAAACTCGTTTTCACGCTCCCTCTATTAGTAATTGAGAAAAACACCTAATTAAAAATAACATACAGGGTCAATGATATAGATAGGTATATAGATTGGTTATCCATGTTTTTCAAAAGAAATAAGAACTTATTCCTTGAAGTAAAAATGTAGCTCATTATTTTTTCAAAAGCTGAAAATTGGTTTTAAAACACATTTTTGCTAAATGGATTCTAATTAATGAGCATCTGCGAGGCAATATGGCCGCTTACAAATGACCCGCTTTGAACAATCTACATAACTATAACTAACAAGAGGGTTGCCATATCATAACTATCATTACCCACGGGCAGCATTTTAACAGGTCAATACCAATTTTAAGATCCTTCGTAGAAACTCCTTGCTACTCGAATGACTTCGGAAAGCAAACAGTTATTTAAGCGAAGTTGCAGTAATTATGTGACTTTAGACTTACTATAAAATAAAAAAATGTTATTTTTACATTACACTCAAATTCTAATCTCATTCCAGCTTTCTCAATTCTTCTTGAAGCCGTCCTTATGACACCGTAAAGGAAGGACGACTCTAATTGTACTAGAATAAATTTTTAAGATCCATCATTCGTTCACCAGTGTTAAGTTTTCGAGTACGCTCCACCGTAAACGTAAAATGAAATGAAAGAAAGTGGAAAGACAAAAAATTAAATGCAATTTTGGAAATTTAAAAATGGACAATCTCCAATTTCCCTTAGGAAATTATGAAAAATACATGAGTATAGAGCAGTACCAAACGGCACACCTCCCTCTTATTTAGCCCAAAACTCGTCACACTAGAGAGATGTATACTCCTACGATGCCATTATCTACCTTTTTGTTTTTCTTTAGGCTTCTTACGTCCAAATATAATTAAACGTATCAACTTTATTGTGCTTGATTCATCGATTAACGTACTGTATGTGTGCGAAAGGTTGGATTTAAAAGAAAAACTTTTAATTTTTAATTTCAATTTTTTTACCCTTTACAATAACGGATTATTTGCTATACATTTTTATTCAATAATACAATTTTATAAATATTAATACAAATCGTGGGACTTTCTGTTAAAACTCATTAGCCCTGTTTAGTTTTTTAAATTTTGTTTCATAACACATCACTGTGATAAAATAAACAACTTTTCGACAATTCTTCTGACATACAAATAATTAAAATTGGCAACACCTATGCTACACCCATTTTAAGGATAGGTTTTGCATCTGGGGTAATCTGTGCTAACGACCCGTGACCCAATACAACCTATTTCTGGCAATGTTGATAGTGTGTTGCTTCGTTTCCCACATGTGCAAGCACCATTTACTAGTTACTCCAATACAAACCAAAGCAAGAATGGGTTGATCTTGCCAGCTATTAAAAAAACGTTAAGTATATAATAAAAATATAGCTTATAGAATAATATTTTTATTTTTCAACCTAAAATTAAACTAATCCGTCAAAAATCAAAAATGCATGTAAATAAAATCATAACTCAAACAATCAGTACTATACTCTTCGAATACATTGGCAAATTGACTGGGAGGCATAGGTAGTAAAGTCGTAAACCAAACCAATAACATCACTTGTTTGGTGTTGGACAGCGTTTCAATAGTTTAAATGGCAAACATGGACAACATGGTCTAGGCTGACACGGCAACGGGCATCTTGGTGGACAAGATGGAGGACATCTTGGAGGACAAGGCGAAGGACATCTTGGAGGACAAGGTGAAGGACATCTTGGAGGAGAACATTTTGATGAACAAGGTGTAGGACATCTAGGTGGACAAGGTGGAGGACACCTTGGTGGGGAAGGCAGGGGACATTTAGGTGGACAAGTTGGAGGGCATCCTGCTGGTTTAGGAGGTTGGCAATACATCGGACATGATGGTAATTTAGGTGGGCACGTTGAAGGACATTTAGGAGGGCTACATTTGGGAGGACATTTTGGAGAACAAATTGGTTTTGGAGGTGGACAATACATTGGACATGAGGGAAGTTTAGCTGAAGGACAATTTGGTGGTGGACATCTTGGAGGACAGCATCGTGGAGGACATCTAGGAGGACAACATGGAGGAGGACATTTAGGTGGACAGGATGGGGGACAGCAGCCTGCTGGTTTGGGTGGTTGACAATACATAGGACATGATGGTGGTTTTGCGGGACATTTTGGTGGGCAACCAGGCTTAGAACAACCAGGTGGACATGATGGTGGACAACAGCCTGCTGGTTTAGGTGGTTGACAATACATTGGACATGATGGTGGCTTAGCTGGACAGCATGGTGGTGGACATTTTGGAGGGGGACAACAAGGCGGAGAACATGATGGTGGACAGCAGCCCGCCGGTTTGGGTGGTTGACAATACATTGGACATGATGGAGGTTTAGGACATTTTGGTGGGCAACCAGGAGAAGGACAACCAGGTGGACATGATGGTGGACAACAGCCTGCTGGTTTAGGTGGTTGACAATACATTGGACATGATGGTGGCTTAGCTGGACAGCATGGTGGTGGAAATTTTGGAGGAGGACAACAAGGCGGAGAACATGATGGTGGACAGCAGCCCGCCGGTTTGGGTGGTTGACAATACATTGGACATGATGGAGGTTTAGGACATTTTGGTGGGCAACCAGGAGGAGGACAACCAGGTGGACATGATGGTGTACAACAACCAGCTGGTTTAGGTGGTTGACAATACATTGGACATGATGGTGGCTTAGCTGGACAGCTTGGTGGTGGACATTTTGGAGGAGGACAACAAGGCGGAGAACATGATGGTGGACAGCAGCCCGCCGGTTTGGGTGGTTGACAATACATTGGACATGATGGAGGTTTAGAACATTTTGGTGGGCAACCAGGCGGAGGACAACCAGGTGGACATGATGGTGGACAACAACCTGCTGGTTTAGGTGGTTGACAATACATTGGACATGATGGTGGCTTAGCTGGACAGCTTGGTGGTGGACATTTTGGAGGACAACAAGGCGGAGAACATAATGGTGGACAGCAGCCCGCCGGTTTGGGTGGTTGACAATACATTGGACATGATGGAGGTTTAGGACATTTTGGTGGGCAACCAGGAGGAGGACAACCAGGTGGACATGATGGTGGACAACAGCCTGCTGGTTTAGGTGGTTGACAATACATTGGACATGATGGTGGCTTAGCTGGGCAGCATGGTGGTGGACATTTTGGAGGAGGACAACAAGGCGGAGAACATGATGGTGGACAGCAGCCCGCCGGTTTGGGTGGTTGACAATACATTGGACATGATGGAGGTTTAGGACATTTTGGTGGGCAACCAGGCGGAGGACAACCAGGTGGACATGATGGTGGACAACAGCCTGCTGGTTTAGGTGGTTGACAATACATTGGACATGATGGTGGCTTAGCTGGACAGCATGGTGGTGGACATTTTGGAGGAGGACAACAAGGCGGAGAACATGATGGTGGACAGCAGCCCGCCGGTTTGGGTGGTTGACAATACATTGGACATGATGGAGGTTTAGGACATTTTGGTGGGCAACCAGGCGGAGGACAACCAGGTGGACATGATGGTGGACAACAGCCTGCTGGTTTAGGTGGTTGACAATACATTGGACATGATGGTGGCTTAGCTGGACAGCATGGTGGTGGACATTTTGGAGGAGGACAACAAGGCGGAGAACATGATGGTGGACAGCAGCCTGCCGGTTTGGGTGGTTGACAATACATTGGACATGATGGAGGTTTAGGACATTTTGGTGGGCAACCAGGAGGAGGACAACCAGGTGGACATGATGGTGGACAACAGCCTGCTGGTTTAGGTGGTTGACAATACATTGGACATGATGGTGGCTTAGCTGGACAGCATGGTGGTGGACATTTTGGAGGAGGACAACAAGGCGGAGAACATGATGGTGGACAGCAGCCCGCCGGTTTGGGTGGTTGACAATACATTGGACATGATGGAGGTTTAGGACATTTTGGTGGGCAACCAGGAGGAGGACAACCAGGTGGACATGATGGTGGACAACAGCCTGCTGGTTTAGGTGGTTGACAATACATTGGACATGATGGTGGCTTAGCTGGACAGCTTGGTGGTGGACAGTTTGGAGGAGGACAACAAGGCGGAGAACAAGATGGTGGACAGCAGCCTGATGGTTTAGGAGGTTGACAATACATAGGACATGATGGTGGCTTAGCTGGGCAGCATGGTGGTGGACATTTTGGAGGAGGACAACAAGGCGGAGAACATGATGGTGGACAGCAGCCCGCCGGTTTGGGTGGTTGACAATACATTGGACATGATGGAGGTTTAGGACATTTTGGTGGGCAACCAGGCGGAGGACAACCAGGTGGACATGATGGTGGACAACAGCCTGCTGGTTTAGGTGGTTGACAATACATTGGACATGATGGTGGCTTAGCTGGGCAGCATGGTGGTGGACATTTTGGAGGAGGACAACAAGGCGGAGAACATGATGGTGGACAGCAGCCCGCCGGTTTGGGTGGTTGACAATACATTGGACATGATGGAGGTTTAGGACATTTTGGTGGGCAACCAGGCGGAGGGCAACCAGGTGGACAACGACCAGGTTGTATAATATTATAATTTTCTTTATCTTCTTTCTCGGGACGGACCAAAATTTCTTCGTCGGCCATTGGAGGAATGCACTTGCAGCCAGGATCGAGACCACAACACGGTACTGGTAGACAAGGGCCACATATCATAAAACAATTCGACTCTTTTTTGCTGTCCTTTTTATCTTTCAAAGGTAGTTCAGCTTCGATGCAGGCAGTTAAAATTTTTCTTATTCTAATTTTTTGAATTCTTGTTAATTCATCAAAAGGGGAATCCGAGGTTTTAATTGACATCTTTGAATTCATTTGTAACATTTTACACTGGATAATTTGTAATAATTTTTTAATGTTTTTTTAAACTAGAATTTTGTATTCCTGACAATGTCGGTAAAATAAAGGATGATATTGACACATGACATTAGCAAGTCAGATAGCAAAATTTGGCGAAGTCTGTAGAAAATACAAAAAGGAAAAACATGCTTTACTCGCGATTATGAAGACTAGAATACTCGCGGTTCGTAAAATAATACGGTGGCCTATTCCCGTTGACAAGAAGTAGGAGTTATAGGTACGTCACAAAAGTACATAACGCACATACTTTGATTTTCTTTTAGTATGTGACATAACGAGGATGGCGAATATTCTGATGTTTACATTTTATTGTTGAGTGCTGATTATATAATGATTTTTTTATAAAATCGAGAGTTTGATTGTTCGAAAGGTACAAAACACCAAATAAAATTATGAAATGGATTCCATAAAATGTTATTTATAAATAAATATATTATTAGGTTTACCGTTTGTTTTAAACTTTTTGTATTAGGGTACGGTCCCCAGAGTCGAATGTGAACCACGCTCCTTCTGCTTGTCATATTGTTTTGTGTCAGTCTGTCTACGTCATTTGTCCACTGTCAATTGTCAAATTTAGGTATGCTTGTCACCTGTTGTACGTTATACCGGAAAACATGTATTATTTTTACAATTTGTATAATTATTTATTAATGGTTTACTTTTAAATTGACCTATTGGGGTTCGGTGCCTCTACCGCCCCTAAATGTTTATCTGTAGTAGGTATTTGTTGATAACAATTCTATGTCATCTAATTGACTCCATGTGGAGCATCGAGATAAAATAAAGTGGAGACGACATAAACACTATTTTGCGATATGACAGATGGACGCACTTCAAGTGACGGAAAAGTGTAATAAAAATATCGACTTGAGTCGAAGTTTGATTTATTTGAAGTTAATAATTTTATGTTTTAAGACTGACTGAATGAAAATGATTTTATATCATTTAAATTAAGCTATTTACAAACAATGGCATTTATACTCACCAAAACTACCTCCATTAGTTTAAGTTTGATATATGACGTAAAAATGTAAGGAACTTTATCATCGAGATAACATATCCTCTTTATTCTATCTCAATTATGTAGAAGGTATCATAGACGTAAGTCGTTTGTCATGTTTTAATATTAATAAATTTTAATGTAACGTCTTTTAGGACGGCTCTAAAGAAGGCTTTGTTAAACCGAAAACGCTTATCCTAAATTTTTATTAAAAATTTAAAATTTTTACACACTTTTGTATCTTCTCCACTAACATTTTACATTAAATTAAATAATTTAAAAAGAAAATTTCCAGTTTGAATTTGTAAATGAAATTTAATTTTTGCTTATAAATTATTATAAATATGTATAACGTAGGAAATAGGTTGTTTTATTCTAACTGTTTTTAAGTACGAGTACATAATATTCTTTACACTTTAAAATTTAATTACAAGGAATTGACTATTGCTTTTTTTAACAAGTAAATCAAGTCACCGAACATATTCATATTTATGCTTAGACTAGGTAACCTAGTCTAAGTATTTATGTTTGGTGCTCAAAGAAATGTGACCAAGTCAAATGTGGTCAAGTGCTTACGTCATTATAATGACGTTATATTATCTGATTTAAAAATGTTTGGTTTATATTGACACTAACTTGACAATGCGCATGACATCAGTTATAAAAGTAATTAAAAAAAAAACCGACTTCAAAATCGTGCAGATGCCATCATCACATCTGAGTTATCTCGTTGTAAAGAATTACCGCTAAACATACATAAAAAATCAAGAGTTTAAGGATTTTCTAATGGACTTAATAGTCCAATTAAATAACGAAAAAAAGCCCCTTCGAGCTTACATTAATTTGTAATTGGATAAAACAAAGTGGACCTTGTGTATTTTGATGTGATCTTTCCGAAAAAAAGAAAAAAATTATGTAGCAGTTTTTCAATTTTTTTTAAATTAGGAAAAACCGGGTTTTCCGGAATTTTCCATGGTAAAAATGCTAATTATCTGGGCAAGTATCATTCTGATAGTAAAATTAAATGCACCAATCGAAAGAGGAGGCAAAAATAATTCGGAATTTCATTGCATAGGTAGTTTTAATGGCGAATTTCTCGCCGCCAGAAGTGCTTTTACCAAAAAGTTGTTTTTTCGTTTCTTTGATCAGAATCATAAACATGAAATTTGCGATGAATTTGTGGCGAAATTATAAATGTTTGACATATGTGCCCATGAGAGAAGTTCCGTATTTTTTTGTGGGCTCTCAAATAAAATAAGTCGAGCGGCGAAATCTGCCATAATTTTTTGGAAATTCGCAGGAAACCGGAAGGCGTAATTTTTTTTTAATTTTTCCTTATATGATTTTCTCCAGGTTTCCCGAAAACATGTAACAAAAAATATATTTGAAGAAACTAACTGCGCCATCGGAAAGAGCACAAAAAAATATACAAGAAGGTATACTTTAAAAATGTTAGGAAATTAATCCTAAGCTTGAGTGTAAGTTCCAACTTGGTGATAAGCTTGTTTTCTGTTCTCTAACATCTGGTTTTCTTCTCGGTTGATGCTCCATCCTCCTTTTTTTGTGACATTGTCAATCGCGGCCCTTTTATGCATATCCCAGGTTTTATAAATAAACTCTTTTCCGTAACGTCGAGCTACGTTATGTTTGCGACACCTTTCATGCAATATAAAACCTGGTTCTAAAGAACTGAAAAAATCATCCCCTCTCTCTTTGCTGACCATCTGCAGACCTTTCAATCCTATCGGTCTAATTGGGGTAAGTTCACCCTTTGCAAGTTTCTGATGACATAATAAACATAGTCCAGCCAATGCAACCTGGAAACAAAAAACTTATAGCACTGTGATAGAATTTTCTTAATTTAAGAACGTACTTACTTAATAAATTGCTGAAGAAGTCCGAAAAACCACGTGTACACAGAGCTTGCTGAACACGGTTATTAAAAATTTATGCCGATATACACTATCAAGCGATTCAATTTGTAATAATATGACCGTTTCAAGTTTAAACTTGTCGGATAGCGAACGTCGAGACCATGACTATCCTTGATACGACGTCCGGCTAATTTTGCGGTAATTCTATTTTTTGCACAAAACTCAAGAAACGTCTTATAACAAGTCAGTAAAATACAATTTAATAAATTTTAGGCCTAATAAATTTAGGTATGTAAGAAATTTAAAACGGGAAATCACAAAAAATCAATTTACAGAAATGCACGAGTTTTGGATCCCGCGGAGCGCGTATAATGGGACTTTTGTCAGGAGAATTCTACAACTTAGAAGAAACATACAGACTTTAAACTTTGTATACACATTGAGAAGACATGAGATTTGGGTTTGCTCAATTTTCAGACCAAAAAACTGAAAATCGTCAATTTTAGGCAACTTTTCTCAAAAACCGTGTTTTTTGGTCGTCACTCAATGAACAGTGGTCAAAAAAAATAGATAAAATATTTTTGCAGAATTTTCCGTAATGTAATCGTATTCTAAACATAATGGAGTATTCAAAAAAAAAAAATTTGAGTCATTGGGTGCATTTTTGGCATTTTTGTGCCACTTCAAACTTTCGAAAAAAAATTAATTTTTTTTTTAGGAAAAAAAATTTGATAAATTGTTTGATATCTTGGCCAGTTATAATCCGATTTCGGTAAAATTCACACACCTATAAGATTTCATATTTAGGAGTAAGCTCTGTAAGTGGCATTAAATAAATTTAAATAGTTTGGCCGTTATAGGCAAACAATGAAATTAGGCTTGCGGTACACTTTGCCCTTCCGCCATATGCCCAATTTTGGGATTTCTCTTGCCCCCTTCTGGGAATCAATAGTTATGTCCCTTAAGTTCAAAACGAATTTTTGTTTCTTCAAATATCTTAATTTTTACCAAAGTTATGAAGAATTTAGTGTTTGAACATTTAACAAATTCAGCTCAAAACCGGTAATTTAATTCGATTATAATTATTAGGTTTTGACTAAATTAATATAGGACCACCCCTGAAGTACCCTTTCTAACAAAAAAAGAATTATTGAAATCGGACAACGTGTTAAAGAATTATCGCTGAACATACATAAAAAATATATTACGACGAATTGAGAACCGCTTCCTTTTTTAGTCGGTTAATAAATATTTGTTTTGTGTACTGATCACGGTTGAAGAGAAAATTGGTGTTGTAGTTTCGTTTATTAAACCTTTTGCCATGTTCTTCAATAAATCTTGGCTATCTTCAAAAATAAATTGGCTTTTCATTTACAAAAACCTTTAATTGCGTCCATATCTATGTACTCAGCTAGGGTTGCCAAACGTCTCGCTCTAGGCGTAATTGTTGGCACGCGTTACACCAAAGTACAAAAATGCCCCTTCATAAACACAACCAAACAATTATAGCATTTTCGACTGGTCGCACTCAGTTCACACTCGTGTAGTGCGAGTTTTCGTTTCTCAGCACTGGTTCAATTTAGTAACGTCATGCAAACTTATTCCAACCGAACACGCAGTTGATCACCCAGTGCATTATATTGTATTTGACAGCTATCATCTGAGTGATAAGTAGAAGTAGTATCTTCCAAATTGCAAACAAGATCCAAGCCAAGCTTTCATTTTAGACATTTATTTAATATTGTTTTAGAAACTTTTATCAACAGATTACCATAAATGTACCTCTATCTAAGAAATGTACTTATGTTTAAGTTCTTAAGATGTCAACATATACTATGCATATACAAGAACATTTATGGTACCTAACTGAGAGTCATCCAGGTGCGACATCACCGATTTAATGTAATCTTTTATTTTTGGCAGTTTAGTTTTATTAAACTTGGCTTTAATTAAATCTTCTGAATCTGACGAAGAAGTTTCCGGTAATTATTGCGAAGATGCCCTTTTCTTAAAAATACATATTTTTTTACAAAACTTAGATTTTTCTCTTTAGGAAGGAGAGTATTTTTCAAATATACCACCGGAAACCCCACAAATTACCGTTTTTTTAAAAAAATTACATATTAAAGGCTTATGAGGATCATTAAATGATAATTTGTGTAAACTTATTCATTAGAATTTAGAATCATGTCCGTCATGATCTGTCAATACAAATTAGTGTGGTG